CTCCTCGTCCAGGTCTTGTTTGCAAACTTCAGAAATCTTTATATGGATTAAGGCAAGCCCCCAGATGTTGGTTTGCCAAACTCTCTCATGCCTTAAAGAACTATGGTTTTGTTCAGTCTATCTCCGATTATTCTCTTTTTACGCTACGACAGAGGGAGGGTGTCCTACATGTTCTTGTCTATGTGGATGACCTTGTGATCGCCGGTAGTGACTCTCATCAAGTTGAAAAGTTTAAGTCCTACTTGTCCCAATGTTTTCACATGAAGGATTTGGGGCGCCTTAAATATTTCTTGGGCATCGAAGTCGCGCGCACTCCGGCAGGCATTTTCTTATGTCAAAGAAAGTATGCATTGGATATTATCTCTGAAGTTGGCTTACTTGGGGCACGCCCTCTAGGCACCCCACTTGAGCCAAACCATCGCTTGGCGCTTACTACCACGCCACTACTTCCTGACCCTGAGAAATATAGACGCCTCGTTGGTCGCCTTGTTTATTTGTCGGTCACTCGACCGGAGCTGTCCTATGCCGTTCATACACTGGCCCAGTTTCTGCAAGAGCCTCGTGAAGATCACTGGAAGGCTGCAATGGGTGTGGTTCAATACTTGAAGGGGCAACCCGGTCAAGGGATCTTCTTATCAGCCAGCAATACCTTGCAGCTAACGAGGAGATCCCTCACTGGTTGGTTTGTCCAACTTGGCAAATCTCCTGTCTCCTGAAAAACAAAGAAACAAACGACTGTGGCCCGATCGTCTGCAGAAGCTGAGTACAGAGCTCTAGCCGCGGTCACTTGTGAGTTAAAGTGGCTCAAGAGTCTACTTGGTTCTCTTGGGATTGAACATTCGAAGCCTATGACCATAAAGTGTGACAGTACTGCAGCATTACATATCGCAACCAATCCTGTTTTCCATGAACGTACGAAGAACATCGAAGTCGATTGCCATTTTGTTCGAGACGAACTACTGCGAGGAGTCATCAAGACAGATCATGTTTCCACTACACATCAGCTAGCTGATATGCATACAAAGGCACTGGGCAAAGCACGGCTTGAATTCTTGATTCCCAAGTTGGGCATTTCATTGCTACATGCTCCAACTTGAGGGGGGTGTTAGAGAAGAAAAAGGAATATTAGAATATTAGTCTTTGATTTGTATTAGACTTGTATATGGTAGCTTCCTTTTATTTAGAATTCCTAATCCTATTAGGAATACCTTGCTGTATATATATACTCCCCATTGTATTGTAAATAACCAAGAGAGAATACAATAGTTTTTCAGCCCAGAAACACTACTACGTAACACAACTTTTCATAATTAAATATAACAATATAATCCCAACCCAGTTGGGGTCAATTCAATATGTACACAATGTAACAACAAAAAGGTTGTTTCAGTAAATCCATTAGACCCTACTTGTTTCATACAGAAACAAGGAAAGTTTAATGATGTCTTTTTTATGTAGTCTATTTTGTGTCTGAAACCAAAACATTGTACTAAGACTCTTCTAGCTCCATCAGCAATAGAAGGAAAGCACTCTTTTTGTTAAAAAAAAATTGATTTTTTTTCATATAACAACATAAAAAGTGAACCATTCAAGAAATTAAAAAAAAAAAGAACGGTTCTTGAAGATGGGTACTTACGATCTAGCGAAAGGCAAAACATCTGCCTTGAGCTCTTCTTCTGGTTCTTGATTATGGGCAGGCTCCATTGAAGGGTAATTGGGCGAAGAAGGTTGCAATCAAGAACTGGAATTTCTATTGCTTATTCATTAACGTGACAGCTTATTGACATTATCGTTTTCTTGCAGAGGCTTCCCAAAGATATTACTGCTGTAAATAAATTGCTTCAACGGCACTGAATTGTTTTAATTGCCTTGACGGCACTGAATACTCTCTCCTTCTATTCTATTTTGTTGTTTATTTGTCTCTTTTTATTAATTATTTATCAAAATAAAATATTTTAATCATCTGTTTTGTAAAACTTTAGATAAAATTTTTGTTTCTTATTGATATATTAATATTTGTAAAAATTATAAAATTTATCATCGTAATTTCAATTTTGTAATCAAAATAAAGACAGTGGAAATATTCCCTCCGTCCCACAAAAAAGACTATTTACACGCTTTGACTACAAATTGTGAGAAAGGTATATTGAATTCTAAAATAAATCTAATATATTTGGATTCATCTTAGGATCTAGTTTTGATATCTCAAATTTTTTTAGCATTTCTTTATTTAAATTATATTTAATTTATGGTCAAAGCGTGTAAGTGTTTGACCAAAAATATATCAAAATGGGAACTTTTTTGTGGGACAAAGAGAGTATAAATTAATACAGTAAATTAAAGGGTTTTATTTAAAGCTTCCCAAAAATATGAGGCCCCGTTTGGTACACGGAATTCAAATTATGAAATTGGAATTGAGGATTTTAATTCCAATTCTGGTGTTTGGTAGCACATAAATTATTTAGATTTAGAATTGATAGTGCAAAAAATGATTTGGAATGGGTGAATTCAATTCTATGAAATTGAATCCCATGAAATTCTAATTCCAATTCAATTCCAATTCTATCAATTTTGTGTACCAAACGGACCGTGATTGTTTGTCTTTTTCGAACAGAAAGAAACCGATGGATATTGGCAAGAAGGGTTTTAGACTTTTTACTCCGTACTTTTCAGTCAAATTGCTTAAAGAAGCCACACATTTTGATTCCCCGTTCCAAATTCGTGATTCAAAAAAGAGAAAAAAGTAATGTACTCCCTATCGTTTCCGTCTTTTCGTTCCGCATTACGAAGTTTGACTAGCTTTATTTTTAATTCAATTTATTTTATTATAAATTAAATTTAAAAAATGAAATTATATACTCAAATACTACGTCTAAATATCTACATGACATGTAAATAGTGTACGTAGAATAAGATTCAAGTGGGACACAGGGAGTAGAGGGTGAGTTCAATTTTAAATCAAAACTAAATACTACCTCCGTCCCAATTTATAACGTCTGTTTCGGTTTACGATGTTTGACTGAAATTATTTTCAAACCATTTTATATGACAAATGGTATAGAATTAAAAAATAAAAATTACATATTAAAAAACTACATCAAAAGATTTACAAAACTAGTAGTGACAATAATATTTTATTTTATCAAATTGCTAACGAAAATAGAGAAAGAAATTGAATGAAGTCTGACCCTGTGAATAGTAAACAGGCATTATAATTTGGGACGGAGGGAGTATGAAATAGAAAGTAAGTATGCGGTTCGATTTGGTTTCATACTTAAATTAAAAAATCATTAGTTATTCGATTCAGTTTATGCTGTTTTATTTTTATTTTTGTTTTAAAACATAAAAAATTACTCCCTCGTCCTAAAATAATCTTCCCACTAACTTTTCACACGGTCAATCACTTTCTTTACCTATTTTCATTAGGTATTTGATAGAATAATATAATCTTGTCCCCACTTGTTTTGTAGAACTTCTGAGATAGTTTTTTAATAAATAAATTTTATTTTTTAATTTTATACATACAATCAAATAAATTGAATTAAAAATAAAGTCGGTCAAACTTTGTAAACAGAACCGGAAAGAACATTATCTTCAAAACGTGTTTGCAACCCTAGTTCCAGAATCACATTCACATAACTTCGAATAAATTTCTCAAAATCTGGCTTTGATTCTTGTAAAAGACGCACATCAAATATTCAACCTCTAATCGTTCTTCTTTTGTGAACTTTTATTAGTCCGTAGTACCTCCCTTTCTTTTAACCACCAATTTGTAAAAAGCAAATATCTTCTAGATGTTCTTTTTCTTGGTCAGCAACAACAATTGGTTATTAATGCTCCATGGACGAGATAAAAACAAATACTTTCATAGTTTCTCTTTTTTCTCCTAACTCTATCCTTTTTCTTCTTCTTCTAAACACACTGGGGGTGTTTGTTTTTTCTGCAGGAAAAGGTCTGCAGTCTGCGGACCACTACTGCAGACATCTGCAGGAGAAGTGGTGGACCGAAGGTCTGCGGTTTGCAAGAAGAAGACTGTTTGTTTTTTAATGTCTGTACACTGCTATATAAATTAATGGTGGTAGTGTACGGTGGTGGTGTATGGACGATTGTGGTGGTGGTGGAGGGTGGTGGTGGACGGTGGTGGTGGCGATGGATGGTGGACGAC